TCCACACAGAAATGCCAACTGACCCAGCTGGGACTCTAACCAGCTAACCGCTGAGCCACCGTACCGCCCAATTTTAAACCACACACTTGCAGGAAATAAAGTTGTAAGTGTAATAACTAGTTTAATATGCATTAGGGCTGCACAATATATATCGTTTCAGCATCGATATCGCAATGTGTGCATCTGCAATAGTCACATCGCAAAGATATGCAATGTCCAGTCTGAATATATATATATATATATATATAGTTGACCAGGAGCTACAGAATTGTACTTAATTACTGTATTTATATGGACTTTATGATTTATGCAAAAAAAAAAAACTTGTTTCTAGTCCATCTACAGGGTGGGCCATTTATATGGATACACCTTAATAAAATGGGAATGGTTGGTGATATTAACGTCTTGTTTGTGGCACATTAGTATATGTGAGGGGACAAACTTTTCAAGATGGGTGGTGACCATGGTGGCCATTTTTAAAGTCGGCCATCTTGAAGAGGGTCATTTGACACATTAAACTCATTGGGAATTTCACAAGAAAAACAATGGTGGGTTTTAATGTAACTTTATTCTTTCATGAGTTATTTACAAGTTTCTGACCACAAGTGTTCAATGTGCTGCCCATTGTGTTGGATTGTCAATGCAACCCTCTTCTCCTACTCTTCACACTGATAGCAACACCGCAGGAGAAAGCACGGGCTTCCAGTATCCGTAGTTTCAGGTGCTGCACATCTTGTAGTCATGTTAAAACTAAGCACACCACTGTTTTTCTTGTTTTGATGCGTTACATGACACTCTTCCAATTGATAAAACAAAAGTTAGATCCAAGATGGCCAACTTCAAAACGTCCCCCATGGTCACCACCCATCTTGAAAACTTTCCCCCCACCCATAAACTAATGTGCCACTAACAGGACGTTAATATCATCAATCATTCCCATTTTATTAATGTGTATCCAAATAAATGGCCCACCCTGTACATTCCAAAGTGATAAAAAGATTATTTCACATACACCATTGGCAGATAATCTCTTAAAACAAGCAAAAAGCTCTTTATTTTTCTTCTGACAGTGAAAACTAAACAATATTTTTACTTGTTCTAAGAATTTTTTTAGATATTTAGAAAAGAAACAAAACAAAAAAAAGTAGGAAAAGCTTTTTTTTGCTTGTTGATTATTCAATTTATGTACCCGAATACTGTTCAACTCCACTGAAAACTGTCAAATGGAGCTATTCTAACCATCATCTGAAACTTAATTTTGCAGAAAAGTAAAATATCACAATATCAGATTTTTTAAAATATCGTGCAGCACTAATATGCATCCATCTGTGCCTGAAAGTGTGTTTTAAATTCTGTGAATAGCCACTAATGGTCTGAAGTGTGTTCTGTGTTAATAGTTCAGGCTCATTAGTTTTATATTCTTCCTTCTGGGCTCTTCAGAAACTCATTTCTATGCAGATGTGTGGGACATGTTGTGTGGCATGAGATGAACAAACATTTAAGATGCATAAACACGTGGCAAACCCATCTAAAAGCAAACGATTGTACCTTTTAGGTTTTTTCTCTCTCAAAGTACAGCTCAGGTAATCGTACTTAATGACCGGTGAGGCCATATTAACAAAGCTACAGCTACTTTCACTGAATAAGTATGTGTGCCAGGGGTATTTTGGCTTCCTTTTATCTGTCTATGGCATTTCTTCTTCAAAAATCTCATTCTTTTCATTCTTTTTATTCCAGACGTGATGCGTCTCATATTCCATACAAGATATTCCAAAGATTTAAGGCCAATTCAAATCCAGTGACTCAGAGTTCCAAATTCTCAAACACCTACAGTACAGTGTGAAACATATCCGTAAATTAGCAGTTTTCTGTATTTTGTGATTTTTATTTTTATTTTCTCTCATTTATTTATGCCTTTTAATTTCCCTACGAGATCTTGATATTTCTTGCAATAACTTTTAAGCAAAAAAAGGTGACTTTTATGATCATTTGTAATAGTTTACAGTGATAAATTGTCTGCATTGGTGTTGTATATTACACTACAAAAACCTTGTAATAAACTGCCAACACATCTGTTATTTTACAGACTTATTTCTCTGTATATTATTTCTTAAACATTATTTCAAACTATTTAAAATGTCAATAAAAGTCACTTTATTAAACTTTAGAGTTGAATTTCCAACATCAAAAGTCGACAGAGCAGACGCCAACATCCCATAATGCAATTCACTACCATAAATAAACAGAAAACTCTTGTGAATCAAAAAATATGGAAGCTATGAACAGATATCACTCATCAAAAATGATTTTCTCTAAACAAACATTTCTTGTTTGATGCTGCTTGTAATTTTTTGTGGTTATTTGACATTTATTAATTAATTTTCTCTCAGCTTAGTCTCTTTATTCGTCAGGGGTCACCACAGCGGAATAAACCGCCAACTATTCCAGTATATGTTTTACGCTTCCAGCTGCAAATTTGACCTCTATATTTACTTTAATATTTCATGGTTAATTTAGCGTTTTACATCTTTATTTATAATTATTTGTGAAATATGCAAGCAGCTTCTAACTAAAAATGTAACTTTTGTTTGGATAGCTAAAGTTGAAGCCAAAATTACTAGTCCTCGTAAAGTTAAGCATTTTTCTTCTAGGGGAAGTCTTATTTCTTTTAGTTTTGGTGCAATTAAAGCAGCTTTTAAATTCCTTTAATTCAATAAAATTCACATCTTTTTGTATAGCACTTTTACAATGTAGATTGTGTCAAAGCAGCTTCACGTAGAAGATCATAGTGAATTGAAACCGAGTAGTTCAGTTTTCAGTGTTTAAGTTCAGTTCAGTTTAGCTCAGTTCAGTGTGGTGTAATAATCACTATTAGCGTCCAAACACTGGAGAGCGAATCCATCGATGCGCAGCTTTACAGATCCCAAACCATGCAAGCCAGTGGCGACAGCGGCGAGGAAAAAACTTCACCAGCTGGCGAAAGTTAAGAATTAAAAAACCTCGAGAGAAACCAGGCTCAGTTGGGCACGGCCATTTCTCCACTGGCCGAGGTTTTGTGCAGAGCTGCAGTCTAGGCACTGGAGAAGCTGGACCTCAGCACAGACTCGTCTGTCCCTGGAGCGTCACAGGAATCAGTCTCATGCTCTACACTCCTCCATGACCACCACAGCAGCTGCTCAGGATACGGCCTCGTCCAGGATTATGAAAACTTTGGGATCATCTCGTTGCTGGTTTTGGATCGAATCAGTGGCGCTGCATAGTCTGAGGGTCTTGAGATGAGTATCCCCAGGTGGAAATAGAGAATAAAGAGAATAATTAGCGTAGCTGCTGTTCATAGTGTATATAAACGAGATGCAGAAACCTGCGTTGGGCACATTCATGTATCATACCGCTAAGTGATGCACTGAGTGTTTGCTTTACTAAACAGATAGGACTTTAATCTAGTTTTGAACTGGGAGAGTGTGTCTGAGCCTCGGACGTTATCAGGAAGGCTATTCCAGAGTGTAGGAGCCATGAAAGAGAAGGCTCGACCTCCTTTACTCGACTTTGCTATTCTAGGTACTACCAGAAGCTCTGAGTTTTGAGATCTTAAAGAGCGAGTTGGATTGTAGCGAGACAGAAGGTTGGTTAGATAAACAGGAGCTCGATTGTTTAAAGCTTGAGGTCAATTATTAATAATTTAAGGTCAATTATTATTTATCATAGCTAATCTAGAGAATCTTTTTTGTTTGTTTGTTTGTTTGTTTGTTTGTTTAGCTGAAAACAGGTGACACAGTGGTTCAGTGGTTTGTACTGTTACCTTACAGAAAGAAGGTCGCTGGTTCAAGTCCTGGCTGGGTCAGTTGGCATTTCTGTGTGAAGTTTGCATGTTCTCCCCGTGTTGTGCTCCGGTTTCCCCCACAACCCAAACACATGCACTATAGGGGAATTGAAGAAACTAAATTGGCCGTAGTGTTTGTGTGTAAAAACGAGAGTGTATGGATGTTTCCCAGTGCTGGATTGCAGCTGGTGGGGCATCCGCTAAAACATATGCAGGATAAGTTGCCGGTTTATTCCGCTGTGGCGACCCCTGATGAATAAAGGGACTAAATCGAAGGAAAATGAATGAATGAATGTCTAAAAACAAAACATTTTGAATAATCAAAAAATCTGCCATGGTCAATATTATTATCCCTCTTAAATGATTATTAATATTATTTTAAATGGCTTCTGAATAAAAAACTGTTGTCTAATCACCTGCCTAATTAACCTAACTTGCCTAGTTAACCTAATTAGCCTAGTTAAGCTTATCAATTCCACTTTAACTAATATCCTACATTCATTCATTTTCCTTCAGCTTAGTCTCTATTTCAGAGGTTGCCACAGTGGAATGAACCGCCAACTATTCCAGCATTTGTTTTACACAGCGGATGACCTACCAGTCACAACCCAGTTCTGTTCTGGGAAACACCCATACATACTCATTCACTTTCATACACTTTGGACACTTTAGTTTATTTAATTCCCCTATAGCACATGTGTTTGGAATGTGGGGGAAACCGGAGCACCCAGAGGAAACCCACGCCAACACGGGGAGAACATGCAAACTCCACACAGAACCAACTGGCCCAGCCGGGAGCCACCATGTATCTAGTATCTTACAAGATAACTATAATGTTATGTACTGTCATCATGGCAAAGACAAAAGCATTTAGTTTAAGAAATCAGTTATCAAAAATATGAAATGTGCTGTCTCTCCATTAAACATCACATGGGAAATAATAAAAAAAAATTTAAACTTTACTGCAGGGCTAATAATATCATATATAACAGTTGACTATCAAAAAATATACACAAGCAATGTTTATTTGTATAGAAGTGTATCCCATTAAAGTGGCAACAATAGATATAGAAGTCCAGTGACGTGAAATGGAAAATGAGTATGAATTAGCATCGGATCAATTCCACAGACAGATCGACTCTCGTCAATCATTCACAAAGGGCGCCAGCAAAACAGGCAGTAATAAAAACACATTCTCTCTGTTATGTGAAGGGAAACCTCCCTATAAAAGCTCCTCCTGGCCGATAAGTAGATGACAAACAGAAACTCAACGCGGAACTGAGCTGTCAGCTGCCATGAACCCACAGCGCCTCTCCTCTCTGCTGCTCTGTGTCGGTGAGTTTGCTTTTCTCCATCCTGATCTGACCCTGTCTGTCTTACATTATTTTTAGCTTGCCAAATTCAGGACTGAACTGAAAAACACGTCAACTGGAAAGAGGATTTTAAAACCCCCAATTAAAAAGTTAGGTTGTGTTTGTGTGTGCAAAACTAAATAGTCTAAACTATTTTGATAGATTTTTAGACATTTTATTTTACATTATTACATTATTAGCTTGCCAAACTCTTTCCAAATCCTGGAAATCTTGGAGGCTTTTAAAACCACCATTTCCAGCCTTAAAATGTTATGTATGTTTGTGAGTGCAAATCTAAAAGTTTTGATTGGTTTTTAAAAATACTATTTTTAAGACATATTTTTTTTATTTTATTCATGTTTCCATTTCGGTCTGACCCTGTCTTACATTTATTCTTAGCGCGAACTGGAAAAACCTGGAAATCTTGGATGGTTTTAAAACCATCATTGCCAGCCTTGAGAAAAAAATCATTAGAATTCATCACGTATTGCTTTGTTTGTGTGTGCAAAAGTTTATATTTATAAACTTTATAAAATATTTTGATTTGTTTTTTAGAATTTTTATTTTATTTCTCTATCCTGATCTGACCCTGTCTAAAACCATCATTTCCAGCCATGTAAATATTAGAATTTATCAAATTATTTTAAATGTTGTGTTTGTATGTGCAAATCTACATATTCTAAAATATCATAATTGCGTTTTAAAAATGTGTGTGTGTGTGTGTGTGTGTGTGTGTGTGTGTGTGTGTGTATGTATGTATGTATGTATGTGTGTGTGTGTATGTATGTGTGTGTGTGTGTGTGTGTGTGTGTGTGTGTGTGTGTGTGTGTGTTAAAGACATTGTTATTAGATTGCAAATTCTTTAAAACAAATAAAATGTTTTCTGTATTAATTAAAAATAATACAGAGAGGTGTTCAAAATATTAAATAAATAATTAAGATGACAACTTAAAAATCAAAAATTGATTGTTGTCAAATGTTAGACAAAACATGCTGTTCTCAAATAATTTGATGGCTTTACATATATATATATATATATATATATATATTTTTTTTTTTTTTTTTTTTTTTTTTTTTTTTAAGACTGTTATTTGATTGCAAATTCTAGGAAATAATGAAAATTATTTTCACTATTAATGAAAAAACTATATACAAATCAAAAAGTGGACAAATAAAATTTATAAAAAATAAATTAAAAATACATAAAATGCTGGGTTATTTCAACCTAATTCTGGGAGTAATGTGTAGTAAATCAATTGCTGGGTTAATTTTTTTATTAAAGCATTAACAAATTAACTTATTGTTTGAGTTAGTCCTTATTTTACTCACTTTAGGTTTGAATAATTCATAATGTCTTAGAGTGTAACAACATAAAAGGCAAAAATTGGACAAAACATAAACAAAATAAAGAAGTGGGTGAAAATACAAAGATAATTCTTAATAAAATTATTTTAAAAGTTATAAAAAATAACAACATGAGTTGTTGTTAAATAAAAAATAAATCCTTTTCATTAATAAAAACAAATCAAAAAGTAGAAAATAATAAAATAAATGACAATATACACAAAAGACAAAATACACAAAATGCTGGGTTAATTCAACCTACCTCTGGGAATAATGTGGAGTACATAAATTGCTGGGTTAATTATTTTTATTATTATTAAAGCATGGGCAATTTAACTAACTGTTTAGGTTAGTCAATATTTTACTCACTTTGGGTTTGAATAATTCATAATTTCGAAGAGTGTAAAAACATAAAAAGCCAAAAAACTTACCATAAGTCAAAAAGTCAAAAACATAACCGTAAACATATCATAGTTGTCAAATGTTGGTAAATACATGCTTTTTGTTCTAAAATATTTATTGCAAATAAAGCAAGAAAAAAAAACTAAGTCAAGAAGTGGGCGAAAATAAATAATAATTCTTAATAAAAATATTTAAAAAACAATTAATAAAAAAATAACACAAAAAGTGGATAAAAATAAATCCCTGTCAAGTGTTTGATGACATTTTTGTTCTGAAATATTTTGATTGCTTTTTAGAAATTATTCATAATTTTTATTGCAAATTTGGTGAAATAATTAAAAACAAATCTTCCATTAAACAAAACAACAACATGAAGTAAAAGTAGACAAAAATATAAATAAATCTCTCTCTATTAAATGAAAAAAGCAAGCAAAAATAAACATAAATCCTTCTCTAGTTATGAATAAATTATCGTCATAAATCATCAGAAAGATAAATAATAAAAATAAAAAAATAAAATAAAAAATAAATCCTTGTTGTCAGATGTTTGAGAATATATGCTTTATTCTAATATATTTTAATAGTTTTTTAGAAATTAATTTAATCTGTAAATCAATTAAAAATAAATCTTTCAAACATAAAAAGTCAAACTGTGGGCAAAAATAAAAATAAACCCCTATTTCATTGAAAAAATAACAACATAAAGTAAAAAGTAGTCAAAACATGCAAAAGGCTGACCATAAATTCTGTGCATTTAGCTAATATATTAGTTTTGTTTCGCTGTAAATGAATGTCAGGCGGCATATGATGAATATTAAAGACTGTATGAAGGTAAACATCCTCCAGAACTAGCGTGAACTCTCTGCTTGATTGAAGTGTGGCGATTGTGTTTGCGTCTCCAGACAGGCTGGGCTGTGGGAAACTGCATCAGCTTGTAGTAACATGTCTGAATATCTGTGAGCTTTGGCTTTTCCCTTGTAGGTGTATGTCAGAACACCACGCAACTTCAATCTGTTGTCATGTTCAGCGTCATAAAACGCTTATTGTTCACGGCCAAGAAGAGAGGATTAGGGCGTCACACCGCCGTCTTAAACATGTATATTTAGCCTTCTGAAATAACGTTAGAAAGGTCATCCAGGCACACAATAATAGGTGTGTGTGTGTGTATGTGTGTGTGTTTTTAGGAAAGGAATTTCTTTGACAATTCCAGTCAGTAGGAGTGTTCAGATCAAATGCATTTACACAAACATTCTTCGCGCAGACTTGTTTGACTGCAGCAGATGCCTGTGTGCATGTTTAACTGCTTGAAATATGTGACCCTGGATGACAAAACCAGTCTTACACTGTAAAAAATGCCGGGTTCTGCACAATTTCGTCATGAGGTCCACACACAAATCGATTGTTAGCTTAATTGTTTTTACAAATTTAAGTGGATTGAACATAAAACAATTAGGTTGTCAGGCCAAAAACCTCAATATTTGTGTTGTTTGCTCATTTTAAATACAGTTGAAGTTGGAATTTAAAGCCCCCATGTTTATTTTTTTCTCCAATTTCTGTTTAACAGAGAGAAGAGATTTCCTCAACACGTTTCTAAACATAATAGTTTTGCCATGATTACAGTAAATACTATTTGACTAGATATTTTTAAAGACACTTCTATACAGCTTAAAGTGACATTTAAAGGCTTAACTAGGTTAATTAGGTTAACTAGGCAGGTTAGGGTAATTAGGCAAGTTATTGTTTAACGAAGGTTTATTCTAGACCAGGGGTGGGCAAACTCGGTCCTGGAGGGCCGGTGTCCTGCACAGTTTAACTTCAACTCTAATCAAACACACCTGCTTATAGATTTCTAGTGATCTTGAAGACACTGATTGGCATATTCAGGTGTTTTTGACTAGTGTTGGAACAAAACTCTGCAGGGACAACGGCCCTCGAGGATCAAGTTTGCCCATCCCTGTTCTAGACTTTTGAAAAAATATATAGCTTAAATGGGCTAATAATTTTGTGTTGAAAAATTGTGTTTAAACATTAATAACTGCTTTTATTCTAGCTGAAATAAAACAAATAAGACTTTCTGCAGAAGAAAAAATATTATCAGACATGCTGTGAAAATTTCCTTGCTCTGTTAAACATAATTTGGGAAATATATAAAAAAAAAAAAAATATATATATATATATATATATATATATATATATATATATATATATATATATATATATATATATATATATATATATATATATATTCAAAGAGGAGCTAATAATTCTGACTTCAACTGTAAGTAGCTCCAACAAGCTTTTTGGTTTTTAGTGCATTTTGCATGGGTTTGTTTTTGGGAATAGACAACAAATTCATAGTATTTTTCTTTTATGCTATTAATCATTGGAATATTAAGTTATGATCAAGTTATGTTAAGATCTTTTGTAGATTTCCTACTGTTAGTATACACCATAAAAAAAACTAAAGGATTTTTATGTTGATTTATCCTATTTTAATAAGTTAATCAAGTTTCAACTAGGAGTCTGCCTTCGCGTGGGTTTCCTCCGGGTGCTCCGGTTTCCCCCACAGTCCAAATACATGTGGTACAGGTGAATTGGGTAGGCTAAATTGTCTGTAGCGTATGAGTGTGTGTGTGTGAATGTGTGTGTGGATGTTTCCCAGAGATGGGTTGCGGCTGGAAGGGCATCCGCTGCGTAAAAACTTGCTGGAAAAGTTGGCGGTTCATTCTGGTGTGGCGACCCCGGATTAATAAAGGGACTAAGCCGACAAGAAAATCAATGAATGAATGAAGTTTCAACTAAAGTTTAACAATGTTTAACCTAATGGGCTCTATTTTAACGATCTAGACACAAAGTCCAAAGCGCAGGGCGCAAAAACATTAAGGACGTATCAGAATCCACTTTTGCTATTTTAAGGACGGAAAAATCCGCTTGGTGGCGCATGGTCTAACAGGGTTGAGCTTTATCTCTTAATGAATAGGTGTGTTTTCAGGATAAACCAATCAGAGTCTCATCTCCCATTCCCTTTAAGAGCCAGTTGCGTCGCGCCATAGCGCATTTGCTTTTTACATGGCGGACCTAATGGAAAAACTGAATGCTTCACTAGTGAGAAAACAGTTCAACAGAGCATCTGCAGCGCCAGAATGAGAGATGAGCCTTCTCATTATTTACTTTTACTTTCGCTCTCTTAGATAAGGAAACGTGTTGTACACAATGAAATCCATTAGCTTATAAATA